GATGAGAGGCTTGCAGGCCTCCTGCACTGCGCCCTGGCTTTCAGTTGTGATTAGTGGTGCCCCGTAGAAGTAATTTTGACAATAAGCACTCCTTAAGTGAAAGGCCCAGGCTAAGCATGTGATCACCTCACAGGGATCCCAGTAGGTACTGCCATCCTCCATCACAGATCTCAGCTCAGAGGCTCAGGGGCACTGAGTAACCTTCCCCGTGGCACAGCGAAAAGGTGAAGGAGTATATGAAGGGATGAAAACCAGTGTCTTTCTGATTCCAGATTTCATCTCGAGTGCGAGGGCCCTAACATTTTCACTTGGGCTTTAATTATTGATGGAAACAATTTCCACTAATGAAAACAATTATAACAAGAGTGATAATGACTCGTTAACTGGGAGCGTATAGATACAAATGACCCAGTTTAAAATATAGAGTTTCTCGGGTAACAGAAATCCCTGCCTTCTTCCCTGCCCAATTCCCTTGAATTGATTTTCTCTCTCCTTCCTCATTGATTGGCCAGGCTTGAGTCAGAGAGCCTAATGAAAAGGATCTGATAAAGGGAGAAGAAAGTCTCTTCAAAGGATAGCCTTCCTGCTGTCTGATCTTGACCTGAAATTTACCCCGAAGTACGTCAAGAAGTGAAATGAGAAGTGCTGCTAAGTAGCTAGGGGTGATGAGGTCTTGCTTTTGCTTTAATTCCTCTACAGATTGGGAGGAATGTGATTATCATGTAGGAGGCAGCACAGTACTGAAGTGTGAAAACTCCACAATCTAATGGCTTTGGGTATATTTCCCTAGTCACCCGATCTCACATTCAGGTGATTTCCATTAACAGTCTTGTTATGAAATGCTCTGCAGTTATTTGGCTTTATCTATCAAGTCTTTGAAATATCAAGTTGCATATTAAATCGTCGCGTACAACTACTGTTTTTAATTCTCCCGATTTTTATGAATATTTCTAAATGTATTAGTGAACAACATTTATTCTTAACAGTCACGTTCTAAATTCGATTAAAACAAAAAAAAATCACAGCATACTTTAAATGTGACTCGCTTGGTGATAATTATGAAACAAAAGTTAAAAGTCATTTGTGTACATTAGAAACTCCTTTTATTAAAAATCTAGAGCAGCCCTGGCTGGTGTGATGTCAGGTGTGATCCCTTCCACCAGGAGGTTGCCAGTTCCATTTCTGGTCAAGGGCACAGGTCCAGATTGGGGGTTGCATCCCCGATGTCCAGCAGGGGGCCTGCAGGAGGCAGTCAATTGATGTTGTGCTCTCACATCTATGTTTCTCCCTCTCCCTCTCTCTTTCTCTACAAATCAATAGACTACTCTTTTTAAAAAAATCTAGAGCATTTTGTTTTTGAAAAATAATGAGAATGTGTTTATATTAATATTACAGTATCCTTTTCTGTGATTTGTTTAAATATGTGTTATGATGTTTCTGTGAAATTATTACCATCTTTTATATGAATATTTAAAAATAATTATACATATATGATCATAAATCATTGAAACATTTTTTAAGGAAAAATGTACATGCTTTATTGATATACAAATAAAATTTACATTTATTTTTTAAAAAATTTTATAGGGGAAGTATAATGAGTGAATAATTTTAAATAAAGGGCTTTAAATAATTCAACTTGATTAAACTCTACCTTTTCATTTTTAGTACTCTCACTGTACACTCAGACATTTATACTCAAATCCTTTTAATTTTCATCATTCATTAACAATGTGGGCCATAGTTCATGTGAAGTGTGAATGCCTATCTTTGAGTCTGTGTTTGATTCCCTAGAGACTGACAACCAGATGAGCTCATTGTAATGATGCTTTTTTAAAAAAATGCCAGACAAATGGCTTTGTCCCAGTTCCCTTGAGTACATTGGGATATGTTTAAAGGTAAAGAGAAATCTGACAAATTCTATCTATTCATCTTTCATGTGCCTTCTAGGTGCTTGGAATAAATCCGCGCAATTGTGTAACAGCCTACTCTAACGCAGAATTTAGCTTAATGTGGGCTTGTTCTGGATTCCTTCCAAGGGGAGGCAATTATCTTTGGAAGTATCCTAAAACTCATTTTTTAGCCTAGTCTGCTAAAGAGATCATTGGATGAGTTGATGATGGTGATGATGAGGATAAGAATATGATAATAATAAACGCTGCCTTCCCTAGTCAACCCCTGCTCTGCCTTTTATTAGCTGTGTGACATTAACAAGTTTCTTAAGCTAAGCCTCATTTTCCTTATCTGTAAAATAGGGGTGACAATAGTATTTACCTTACGTTGGTTTTTTTTTTCAAATATATTTCATTGATTTTTTACAGAGAGGAAGGGAGAGGGATAGAGAGTTAGAAACATCGATGAGAGAGAAACATCGATCAGCTGCCTCCTGCACATGTCCTACTGGGGATGTGCCCGCACCAAGGTACACACCCTTGACTGGAATCGAACCTGGGAC